TAGTCCCAGCTACTTGGGAGGCTGAGGCAGGAGACTCGCTTGAGCCCAGGAGTTGGAGGTTGCTGTGAGTTGCTGTGATGCCATAGCATTCTACCCAGGGGGATAGCTTGAGGCTCTGTCTCAAAAAAAATAAAATAAAATAAAGTAAGCACAGCAAGCATTTGTATGCATAAGAATATATCATGTATGTATACATATATAAATAAATAAGGTGCCAACTAATCACTTTGCTAATCATCTTTTTATACTTCCATTGTTTCACATAATCCTCATACCCACCAAAAATAAACAAAACCCAATAAAGACAAAAATAATAATATTTCCATAAATACAAGGACCTCATCCGTCTAGTTCATGGCTATTCACCAGCTTATGGTCCAGTGCAGATGAAGCACACAAGCAATTAAAAGTGTATATTGGTCTAGGCGGTGGCTCAGGCCAATAATCCTAGCACTCAAGGGAGGACTAAGCGGGTGGATCGCTTTAGTTTCAGACCAGCATGAGCAAGAGTGAGACCCTGTCTCTACTAAAAATAGAAAAACTAGCTGGGCATACTGGTGCATGCCTGTAGTTCCAGCTATTTATAAGGCTGAGGCAAGTGGGTTGTTCAGGCCTAAAAGTGAGGTCGCTGTGAGCTATGACACTGTAGGACTCCACGCATGGTGACAGTGTAAAACTCTGTCTCAAAAAATAAATGAATAGGGCTCAGTGCCTGTAGCTCAAGAGCTAGGGTGCCAGCCACATACACCAGAGCTGGCGGATTTGAACCCAGCAGGGCCTGCCAAACAACAATAACAACTACAACCAAAAAATAGCTAGGCGTTGTGGCAGGCACCTATGGTCCAAGCTACTTGAGAGGCTGAGGGAAGAGAATCGCTTAAGCCCAGGAGTTGGAGGTTGCTGTGAGCTGTGATGCCACTGCACTCTACCGAGGGTAACATAGTGAGACTCTGTCTCAAATAAATAGGCCAGGCACTGTGGCTTACACCAGTAATCCTAGTACTTTGGAAGGCCGAGGTGGGTGGATTGCCTGAGCTCACAAGTCAGAGACCAGCCTGAGGAAGAGTGAGACCCCCGCCTCTACTAAAAAAATAGAAAAAACTGAGGCAAGAGGATCACTGAGCCCAGGACTTGGAGGTTTCTGTGAGATATGATGACACCATGGCACTCTACCTGGGACAACAGCTTGAGATTCTGTCTTTAAATAAGAAATAAATAAACGTAACTAAATTAAAACAGGAATAGGAACTGAGATAGAGCTAGAGGTGGGAAGAAGACTTACTAAGTACATCAGAAACAGAAATGCCTTTGGAAATAAATCTTTCAGAAAAATCCCTATGTGGAATTGACTTCCCTGGGGCTATTTACACAATACTTCAACAAATATTTGCCAGTGCCCATACTATGGGCACTATGTTAGGTGTTAGGAGTACAAGTTTAAGAAAAACAAGGCTCAGCGCCTATAGCTCAAC